TGGTTAGATCATTGCTTTATAAATATGCAGTTTTCCCCTTTAGTGAGAATTTTAAATTTATACCAATATATACGGTTTGAGAAATCTGAAGATGGCGTGAACAATGCTGATTATTTTATTGCTGTATACAGTTATGATAATTCTACGCAAAAACTCATATCTGTGTCGTTCTGACGCCATATTGGAACGGGTAAGCAAGAAGGTTTTCTGATTATGACACGTGATAAGAACTCGGTCGACTATTGGCTATATGCGCGCGTCGCGGGCAATGAAAGTCTATACATATTCTTTGTCGCTGGCAAAAAAGCTGAACAGGAGTGAACTCAGTTTTACGTCTTCTGCGTCACGCGAATTTGCGCCAGCGTCAAAAAAGTTGCGTCAACTACGTCGCGAGCGTACTGGTGTGGACGGGCCTTTACAGGTCATGGCCGTTTTCCTTTCTATTTTAAAAGGTTTACAAGAGTCTGACCTCTGTGATATCTGTAAAGAAGCGGGCACTGCGGAGCATTATGTGCAAACATGTAAATATTTTACTGATATCAGGAATAAGTTTTAAAAAAGATGTTTTTAATATATATGATATTTTAAATGATTTTAAAAGACTGAAAAAATTTGCCAGGAAAATGATGGAGAAGATTAATCATGATAAACTTGCACGAGGGATTTTGTTTTTTAGTTATGTTCTTTATGTCTTTTCGTTGAAGGTGTTGTTGTTTCTAGCTTTCTCTAGCGCAGCCCACAAAAAGGCCATAGGGTGATGTAAAGTCTGCCAGGAGCGTCGGGCTACGTCCTTCATATCACATATCACCCCTAGAACTTTGATTTTGTCATTTACCGTATATACCCACGTATAAGTCGAGATATTTTGGACAAAAAAAAAGACTTCAAAGTGAGGGGGTCGACTTATACGTGGGGCCATAAAAAATTAAATGAATCGGAAGTTCAAAAATTTCTTTATATTATGCAGTTGTTTTCTTCCCGCGCTCAAATTGGACGACTTATCAAATAAGCCACTTACTTGAAGTAATTTCATGACTTAAATTATGTGACGAACTAATCACAGAGTTTCATACTTTAAAGTATAAAGAGTACGTTTCGATTAAACCAAAGAATTTTCGGCCCCCGAACAACCGATCAATATCGAGCAATAAAAAAGTTTCGCCAAGAAAAGAAAAATGCAGATAGTCATTTTTAAAGATCATCCATTGATCATTTTTAAAAGAAAAACTTTATCGAAAAACGTTGTGTTTCTATCAGGTGTGCTGGTTCGCGCCCATGAAAAGGGATGGATGGATGCTGACGGAACAGTCGATTGGCTTAAAAATGTGTGAGATAAAAGACCGGGTGCAGCTTTCAAAATGTTGTATTAGGCAACGACGGCACGGAAGATGATGCTGTTTTTGAAAGTGAAAATGATGACGAAGGCTCTAGTAGTGATTGTAACAATACAGAGTTCGAAACTGAAAATATGTATGATGACGAGCCAATGATGACAGAAGAGTTCTATGAAATGTTTGGCGAATCTGACGTTGAAGGATTTTGATTTTGTTTATTTACCAAGGTATTTTTTATCGGATATTTACTTTTTTTCCTCAGATGATTTTGAATAAATGTAGTACTTAAAAAAATTTTTTCGAAGTTTCTCGATCGATTTCGGAAGTGGGGGGGGGCGACTTATACGCAGGTTTCTTATTTTCTACGAATTTTTTATGTCGAAGTGGGGGGTCGACTTATACTCGGTATCGACTTATACGCAAGTATATACGGTACTAACTTCCATTCCAATACCACCAAAATAACTACTGGGGGTATTTTTTCAGCTTTTTTTTACGCAGCTGAATGAAGCCGTAATTAATTTCTGCACCCTCCGTGGCGGAAGTATCCATTAGGTCATTGTGGATTTTATCATTGTCACTAAGATTCGCTATGATTACTTTTTATCAATTCTCTTACTTAAGTGTAACAGGCCGTTCTTTTCACTATTTTCTTGGAAGTGTCCATACTGGACATTGTGCCGCCCAACCAGGATAGATGTTAGCAAGCATCGGGTTCGAATCCCGGAGAAGGCATAGATGTTTGTAAATGTATAATGTATGTGCGGCATGGGGCACTCTAAATATGCGGCGAGTCGGAAGTCCTCTCGAGAGACTGTGGTAGGGAAAGACCCTCAGACTCGTCCCCCCAGAGTGCTCTCCTTTAAAACTGGGCGCGGAACTGAGCAAAGTTGCAACTGCATGGTGCTCAAAAGCTCTTGACGACAACAAGCGCAATCTTGCACTCCTTGCCAGGATAAATTTCGTGGGCTTGTTCTGATGTTTTGTTTGCATTGTGTTTATTCTTTGTGAGTTACCGTGTTTATTAGCGTAATAGTCGCAGCCCCCATTATGAAACAGAAAACTTTGTCAAAAGTGTATAATATTTTGTACATTTCCCCGCATAATAGTCACACCTAGATTTTCACAATGAAAAACTGGCAAAAAAAGTGTGACTATTACGCAATTAAACACGGTAGTCATCTGAATATTCGGATTTGTAATGTCTTGTTGAAGTCGTGAATAATTTATGCTCCAATATAGCTTGGTACTGAGCATGGCCATTTCATCCTGACACATATTGTTTACAAAATATAAGTACTGTGGAAAATTGGTCAAGAAAGTAACAATCCGGTCTAAGGCAGAATCCATTTAGGGACTGCAGATTTTATGCCTCTAAAGGTCTAAGCCCAGCCGAGGTATCCTTTCTGAAAAGACAAGGAATTTGCAGATGCTGCTGACTTAAGACTTGAGGGTAATTCTGCAAATAAATCAACTTCCTAAAATAAAGTGATCTTTGCTGCAAAGTGTAGCTTATTTACTCTGAATTAAAAGCATTAAAGCGATTCTACTATTCATTAGAACAAAAACGCTGAAGTGGCGAAGCGCAGATGAAAAAAACACCCATTTTTTGAAGCCCAATAAAGAATCGAAACCATGTTATCTTACGGGGTGCTTACATACATAGAGTCTTTATCATCGAAAACATATCTTTCTGAAATAGATTAATTAGAAGAAAAATATGGTGCTTACCATGAGTGGAATGGTGTACACACCAGGTTACCTATGCTACAGAGCCCTACACCTATCAAACTAAGAATTAGACTTCCCAATCAATTCACGACTATAACTTAATAATTTCTCCTAAACACACTGATGAGACACTTTATATCATTTTACATAATATATATTTTTTAATCATAATAGGTTTGAGTTATCAGTAGAGATTTTGCATAACAAAGATTTCACATGATCGATTCCGATTTTAATGTAAGGAACTAGTGAGCTGTTGAGCTGATGACTAAAAACTGAAAACAAAGTAGTCAAGAAAAAAAGCAAGTGCAAAATTTGGTGCTTTTAGAAGTTCATTGGCGTATCAATACAGACAGTATACCACAGAGACACTTAGCAATACAGAAGTACAGTGGTTGGCAAAATAGTACAATGATATGAGGCAAATATCAAGTTATCTATTAATATAAAATATAACATAATTTGGGTATTGAGAATTGCCATTGGCTTTTTGATAAGCTATTAAAATCATAATAAGATAAAGATTATTAAAATCATAAGATTATTAAAATCATAATCATAAGATTATTAAAATTATAGCCACAGATTTTTGTGACAGAAATATTGATTTTCCCCAAACTTTCATGAAATTTCAGAGGTAGATGGTAATAGTGAGTCATTAATTGGACAATTTTGAGCTCTTTAGGAATACTGTTGTTTCTGACATACCAGGAGGAATTTAGTAATCGGGTGCAGAACAAAATTCTGAGCCTTTTGCAATCTTTTATGATATGTTTCGCAGGAGTAGGCTCAAACTAGACATGCATAACGAAAGATGGCAAGGTGGATTTAGAAATGTGCAACTTGTTATCTATATATAAAATTTTGTTTCGAGCAGTTGGGGTAGAGTTTAGCTTAACGCACTTGAAACTTCTGGATAATAGATGTAATGTTGTATGAAAAGTTAGCATTTCGCTTGACAAGAACGGAATAACCTCTGGGCCAAAACACATATAAGGTACAAAGACAATGCCTCTGGTACCATTTTTATGCATCAGGGAAGAATGAAGCTCAACACCCTATGGTAGCTTTTATGCAATGAGCAATTAGATTTTATTTTTAGTCACTTGCATATTTCCCCAACACGTACTTTCATGCAGTTTTGTTACGATCTAGCAATTACGTCTTGTTCTTCTTTCAGCTGCACAACTGAAAGTTACAAGTAATTATTACATCATGTTACTACTTCTACATTTCAAATTACTGAATTTTTACTTTTTTTGTTACTTTTGGATCAAACTTTTATTTATCTGCTCAGGTACATCATACTTTCCGATGGATTAATTCTTGGAGGTTACGTAAATCTTTGGCAATTCCAAATACGTTTAACAATAATTCACAATATTATCTACACATACCAACATATGTGCAATGATTCCTGATCACTACCCTAAATGAATGAAACTATTCTATTATATCTAAGATATGGTATGGCATTCTACTAATGAATGATCAAACATACCTGGCACAAAGACAGAATCCCAAAACTTTAAATTCTGCTGCAAAATTTGATCTCAGATATTTAACATCTACATTACTTACTACAGTTTATGAATCATGTAACAATCTGACTTTTCCTGAAGGATATTATCAATCATTCTAAAGTACCTGTTTGCAATAAATGATATTTCTCACGAATAAGAATTCAAAGCATGGCAAGTGATAAAGAGAATGATTAAAATCTGAATGATGTTTTTTTTTTTGTTTGAAGACAATAGAAAGTTATCGAATAGAAAATGAAATCCAAAAACCAGTCAGTGAAAGAACAAAGATTCCCATTTCACAAAAAAAAAAAAAACTAAAATAACTGAAATCCATTTAATGCAATATAGAATAGTTCTGGCATAAAATTTTTGACAGAAAATTAAACATACACACATACACACACAAACTTACCTTCAAAGTATCTTCATCGGTAGGTAATGATGTAGCAGTATCAAGTCGCATTTCAAATTCTCTCAAAGAACTTTGGATACTACTATCAACTTCAGAGTACACTTCCCACTGATTCAAAATATCAGTCAATGCAGAAAGATGGTTCTCTATGAGACATAAGCGTTCTTGCCACTCAGTGTTTATATTAAGTATCTGTTGATTAATGCCATCTGATGAAGTCTTGCTAGCTCGCCGGTTAAGTGCTCTGACTTTTTCATTCAGTTCATTTATTAAAATTTGATTCTTCTGAGCTTCTTGGAGCTGTTGTGCAACTCGTTTTATTGCTGAATTCAGTGATGCAATGCTGCTTGGTTTTTCCTCAGGTACAGGTGATTTCAAGACATCAGAGACTTTATTTATCAATTCTAGATACTCTTTCCATAATGAACAATCTACTTCAGTTTCTGTAATTACTTTGTCTGATAAGTTTACAATCCTACTTAGTTTCTTTTTCAGAGATTCAATATCAGCATCTAAAAGTGGTACTTGGTCATTTTGTAATGTTGGACGTATTTGTGAAGAAAGCTTTTGTATTTCAGAGAATTGATTTTCTTGAAAGCTGATATCTGAGAAATATTTCTAAAAAAAAGTGCAAAAGAATTACCAATTGATGATCATTATTCGTGAAATTGCCATTTTTAACATGACTTGATAATAATACTTTTAATAATAATACTTCTAGATATGTATAAAAATAATCAGTTTTTGTTGTATGGAAGTCAAGAATTTGGATTTTTTTTTCTTTTTTTCAGTGAATATACCGTATTTGATGGCATATAAGATGCACCCTTATTTAGACGGCCGCACACAAGGAAAAAAACGTTTCAATAGCGTGGTTTCTTTTAGTTCTCACGTTTTGTAAAAGCCAAATAAACAATTATTAAATGCAATTACCTTCACGTACAAGGCGCAGGTAACATTTTGAGACCAAATTTAGGGAAAAAAAGTGTGTCTTATATGCCGTCAAATACGGTAAGCTTTTACTAAACATAAGTTTAGGAATCTGGGGGCCATATAAAAAGTAAGATTCTGCAATTTTTTTTAATTTAAATTGCAAATCATGACTATTTGCCTTACTTAAAAATTTTGTAACTGGAATTACATGTCTACAATATGAAATAAAAATGTTCTGAAAATAAAGATTATATTAGGACTTTTATGGGCATAAACATATATACATATGGGGCATTCTTTAGACAAAATTAGAATGCCGATTTTAAGTACTTAATTAGCTAGCCTAATGAAATTTTTAATTTTTATGAGATTTAAAAACTTACTTGCAACTCTAAAAGTTTGAAATTCACATTCTGGAAATCAACACCAGGTGATGGATCTTCAAGCAATTTTTCAGCATTACTTAACCACTTTTCTAGGTTTTCTTTCAGACGATCAAACTCTTTTCGAGTATTTAAAGCTAATTTGAGATACTGCAGTTGTTCTTCAATAGCTAAAGGTAAAGTTTGTTGCAATAAAGTACACTCCTCAATTTGGGCAAGAAATGAAGCAGGAAATATTCCTTTGTTAAGTTCTCCCTCAACTTGACTGCAAAGTACAGATGCTTCATTTAAATAACCTTCAAATCTGGAAGCCAATTCCTGGAAGGAAAAAAAAATTAGATGGTCAAAAAACACTATATTTATAACATCACACAGCTTCTTACAATTTACCTTAAAAAGATTTCTAAACTATGGTATGCAGCATACCGGGGTGCCATAGTGGCTTATATCTAGAGACATTGCAATATATTCAGATAGAAATAATTCTTAGTCCACACAATTTCAAATCATGCTACATGATCATACAATGATAGGAAGAACTCATAATAGATATTATAAAAGTTATCTGTTTTACAAAAGCGCTAATCAGCTTATCAAGTGGCTTGAAAATTACTTTTATGGAAATAATGTCAGTGAATTCATGCAGATTCAATGCCTGAGCCAAAGCTCCAACTGAATTTAGCTCTATAGTAGGAAACCTTACTGAGTTTTCTTGCAGCAATATACTGAAGATAAACTCCAACAGCAGGGAAATAAACTGACTGTTGGATATTATTATAAGATGTATCCATGTATGACATCATGTTTGTGTAAATTTGGGCTTTTAGCAGTAGTTGTACTAAAGGAAGTTCGAAAAGAAAAATCAGATATATAAGAGAAAATGAGACAGCTACATCCAGTCTATTTGCAAGATTTTGCGTGAAAAAAAAAGGTTCCGTTTTTCCATTTAGCTATGAATCATTTATACAATAAAATGAATTTTTTATAAATGTGGCACATTTTATATAAATTGCTTCCAAATTCATAGTATGCTTTTCATGTATTTTTAAACTTAATGTAACTGCATCAAATGTTCACTATAGCTGTTAGGTAGTCCTAATAATTAATAATGCATTTATAGATATCTATAATTATTTCCCTTATTTACATTATCTGAAACAAAGTTTTGGCAAAATTTCATTGGTTCTTTCTGATTATCCCCCCCCATCCCCCTGAAAGGTACCTATCTGTAAAGCAATGCACTTTGTTGCCAAAATAAATAACCCATGACATCACCAAAATGCATTTTAACTATTCGATGATCATTAGTGTTTGTTTTTGTTGCATTGAGTACAAGACTGCATGGTTTGGCGTTTGATATAAAAGAAAGCATCGCATTTCTGCAAGAATAAGACATTTTGCCTAATATAAGAGAATGCAAAAATTCACATTTCATGAAGTTGTACATCTTAAACAATCAAATTTTGTAAATCGAAATTTATGCATAATGTCAAATTGGTGAAATTCTCTGATTGTTTCAAAGCAAAAACAGATTGCTGTGTACATGGGGACAAAAACAGTGTGTACAAAGCCAAATTTTTGCAATTTTATTTTATTATTATTATTATTATTATTTTATGTATAAACAGAAAGTTGTGCACATATTGAAACCAACAGCAAAAAATTACATAAGGATTTCATTAAGTACATTACCTAACAGCTATACCTACAGCTATAGTGAACATTTGATGCAGTTATGTTAGTTAAGTTTAAAAATACATGAAAAGCATACTTTGAATTTGGAAGCAATTTATGTGCCACATTTATAAAAAATTCATTTTATCGTATTTGTGATTTATAGCTAAATGAAAAAACGGAACCTCTTTTTTCACCCCAAATCTTGCAAATAGACTGGATGTATCTGTTTCATTTTCTCTTATATACCTGATTTTAATGAAATCCTTATGTAATTTTTTAATCCTTATGTATCCTTATAATCATTTTATTAAGAATATAAATGTTTTAGTAAGGATGTTCCTTTTATTTTTAATTTTATTGATTCATTGTTGTTTTGTGAATTCTTGGTGTATGATAATTTTCAAAATGCTGTTGCCTTTCGTGTCTGAAATTGGCAAAAAATAAGTAGGCAACAAGCTGATGATTATTCAAAGATGGATGCAGATAATCAGAAAGCACCATTTCATCTAATCAGATTAATAAATTTCTTAAACAGCATTTTATTGAAATCAGTAACACTACTAATTTTAGATTTATCTTCCTGAAGCAAGTGTAGTTTAAAAGAAAGTGTGCATGCATCCCTTTTACTTTGCAGTACACTGAACACAAAATACACTAATTGAATGAACAGAATACAAAGTAATACCTTATGCTTATTAATCTCCTTCTGCACATCACATGATTTAAGTGTCAACAATGGCTGTGACTGCATTACAGATACACCATCTTGTAACTTCTCCAATATATTGTCCAAATCTGAGATCAATTTCTTCTGACTGGCAACAAGATTTTCATGTTCAGTTTTCAAATTATTGACAATTTTCTTTAATTCATTCAATTTGTTTCTTAACTTCTGCAATTCATCCATAATTTTATTGCAGTCAGTGGCAGTACCTTCTTTGGCTATTTGTTCTCCTTTGTCACTAGCTATGGTCAGTTTAGCTTCACACTCTACTACATCATTAAGTATTTCTTGATATTTTGAAACTTTTGCATCAGCTGTGAGTGTTTGTTCTTGAACATAAGTAACACTTTCGTTACAGGAGGAAATTGTTTCATTAATTTCTTTTATAAGACTATGATACTGCTCTCGAATTAAGCATGACTGTTTAGCTTTCATATACCTATCTTGTAGAGTTTGGAGAGTTTCATTGTATTTAGATATTAAATTTGAAAACTCATCCACTAAATTAGCAATGGGTTTTATACTTTGTAACTTTTCTTTGATGTCTTCAACTCTATGCAAAATTGTTTCGTAACGTTCTATAACAGACTCTGCATCTGTTACATATGGACCAAATGGCTGGGCTAAGTGCTGCATTTCAGTCTTGGTACTTTCCAGTTTTCGAATGCCTTCTTCAAGATGAAATTTTTGTGCTTTTTGTTGAGCAATAGCATCATCTAATAACTGTAACCGATCTCTAAATATATCTTCAAAACGGCGGTGCTTTTCTTTAATATTTTTCAAATCACTTTCTAACTGGATTTTATCACCACCTCTCATTTTTTTCATTACATTATCTGCAGCATCTTGAATCACTTTGATATCATCAAATATCTTTTTACTTTCTTCTAACAGAGAAAAGTATGTTTTTTTCTGTTCTTCAATAACTTCGACTGAAACATTTAAACGCAGATCAGATGACAAAATCACCTCTGTGTTATTCAACCAAGAACGGATTCTTTCAAGAGTTTCATCCAGAATCCTTTGTTCTGATATCATGTTATTTAATTCCTCCATTTTCTTGTCAAGTAATTTCTTCACTTGAATTAACTGCCTTTTGGTATCATCCATTGTTGCATGTAAAAATCTCTGATCTTCAATATTGCACATTTCTTCTAATTCATCAGCATATTTATAGAGATCAGAAATAATTGTTTCTTCATATTCCTTAATTATTATTTCTTCTTTTGCAAAAATGGATTTTGCATTTTGTAGATCTTCTGCCCTTCCAGGAAACCATTCAAATCTATTTAGATGCTGTTCTTTCTCAGTTAGCCATTGTTTAATATCGTGAATTTGCTTTTCAAAATTTATACTTTTACATAAATGACAGCTGAGTTTCTCAATGCACTCATCTAAAGCTTTGCAAAGTTCTTCAAATTTTATTTTTATAGCACCCATTTCTGTAAGTAATGAATCAACTTCTCTCTGGTCAACATCGGAGCACAATGCTTCAACTTTTTTCCTAGAAGACTGAATGACTATTTCCTTATTTAAGGTTTCTCGCTGCATGGATCTGATCTCCTGCAAAGAACTTTCAATGGAAGTACTCTGGTAACCAGGCTTTGGTAATGTATTTAGCTGAGATCTTTTCTCATTTATCCATTCTTTAATTGATGAAAGCTCAATGGTTAGAGCATTAATATTGGTTTGAAGTAATTCAATGCTTTGAATTTTACGTAGACACCTATTTCGAAGGTCTTCAAGCCTTTTCTCCAAAGAAGTAATCCTATTTTGCAGATCTGTCTGACTCTCTTCACTGAATTCGTTCCTTAAACTATCTATCATATTTTTAAGTTTTGTTATAAGCATATCAATTACTTTAAGATCTTCAGAGCTCTGTTGCAAAAGCTGCTTCTTCTGGCTATTTCCAGTATTTGTTTGCTTTTCTATAGCATCAATTCTTTCATCTGATGCTTTTATTTGGGATTCAATTTCACTGAAGAGAACTTTCATTTCTTCTATAGTCAACTTCCTAGATATGCATTTATTAATTAGTTGACCAACATGCTCATCCAACATTTTTAGTTTTTCTCGTATATAAGTCAAATTACTAGAAACCTGAGACTGTTTTTCTTTCTTTTCCATAGAATCTATATCAGATTCCTTTTCTGATATTTGAATCTTAATTTCCTCGAGATCATGCAGCCATGAATTTAGAACTTCTATATTGAAAGTCAAACTTTTAGCTTCCATTGAAACAATAAATTGCTCTTTCTCTTTAATCCACTTCTCTATTGAATCTTTCATTTGAGAAATATTTTCCCATTCTCTAACTATAGTTTCTAGAGAAAGAGCAAACGCTTGTATTTGTTCAATGTAATCTTGCAGCTGAATTTTTATTTGCATTTCTTTTTCAGGTAGAGAAGATGCAAATCCTACATCAGGACTCGATGGTCTACTGATGGAAGAAGTTGCTTCAACACATCCTTGAATTGCTTGTTGTAGCTTTTCTCTTCCATCCATCAGTTTTTTTAGTATGTTCTTCGACACGTCCAGTTTCTCCTTAGCCTCTTGGGAAACAAGTTTAGATGCATCTAAGCCACTGGAAATAAAAGGTTTTGTTTCATTCAAAAGTTTTTCACAAAATAAAAGACTTTCTTCATATGTTTTGAATTTCAGCAATGCATCCTCTAACTGAGCTTGGATGTTTTCAGCTGTCATCAACAAAGAATCATAACTTTCTTGAACATTATTCATTTGCTGTTCAATTTGATTTTCTAATTTTGGTACTTGATCTTTATAATCAGAGATCAACTTACTTCCCTTTAATTTCAAAGCATCGATTATCTTCTGATAATCTTGAATTTCTTTAAGCAAAGTCTTATGCTTTTCGCTTTGTTCTTTAGTTTTAACAAGATTTGAAATCTGTAATGAATGATGAGACATTAAATGGAAAGACATCTGCAACAGCCATTTTTCAGTTTCTTGAAGAGCGTGGTTATATGTTTGTAAATTAGACAGTTCAGTCTCTAACTGAGTTAAAAAATCTTGGCATTTGTGATGAACAGTTTTGAAATTATTAGACAATTCATCAAGTTTGGTTATTTCACTATCATCACCGGTTTTTAGAGCTAACTCTTTTGCTTCAACTTGCAACTCCTTAAGCTGCATTTTATGATTTTCCATGTCATTATGAATTTGTTTACAGTTTTCAATTTTAGTTCTAATTTCTACAATATCACCTTTTGTTTCTAATTTATCAGGTAACTTTGACATTACATTATTAAGCCATTCGATAAATTTATTCTTATTTTGTGCAAATTCTTGAAGCCTTGACAATACCGATGATAAAGAGCCACTAATTTCAGCAACAGATTTGCTAAATTCTGAAAACTGTTGTTTTAATGTATCCATTTCTTCTTTAACCAATAATTTTTCAGCATCAGGTAAAACTCTCAGAACTTTGGAACCAGAATCAAGAGCATGATTAAGCAATTTTTGACCATCTAAAAGAACAGCATTAAGTCCTTTTATAGTGTGAAGTCTCTTTTGCAGCAATTCCTCATCACCTTTCAGATGAGAATTTTCATCAAGAATTGCTTTACTTTGATTATACCAATTTAGAAATTCATTGCGGGCATCCTTGAATTCTCCTTGATTACAGATATATTTTTCTAGTTTTGTTATGATGTCCAAAAGATTAGATGATAAGCTGAAATATGTGCCTGATAGTAAAACTACCTGATCTCTTGCAGCAGTGAAAGAGCTAACATCTACCAAATTTTCACATATATGATTTAAAGCATCTATATCTCCTTTATGATCATTTAGCTCATCATATAATTTTTTCAAATGATCAAGCCTATCAGTATCATTAATTTCACTGCTGCTCTCCATGTAAGGCTTAACTTTATTCTGGAAAGCATTTAGCCAACTATCTGTCTCATGTTTTGAGCTTTCATATTCAGTCCATGCATCAAGACATCTCTTTAGACCAAACTCAGTTTCTTTAATAAGTAGCAAAATAGAGTCAAGAGCAGATGATAATGACTCAATTTCTTGTGCTATTCTTTCTTTACCTAAAATACCCAAATTATTACTAACTGTATGCCCTAATTCTGAAAATTTTTTTACTAGAGTTTCACCTTCATTTACAGAATTTTGGATAATCTTAAATTTGCTAATCTTTTCTTCAATCACATTTTTACTGTCAGCTTGAAAATCAATACCATGAAGTTTAGACTTCATATCTCTAATCCATGTTTCAGCAGCAGAATAAGCGGCTTTATAATTTTCAAGTTCTTCAATTTCAGAAGTTAACTGAGATGTGCAAGTCTGAGTTATAGTTAAGAAATTATTGTACTTGTCTAAGCATTCTTCTATTTCTTCTTGAGCAGTTGGATGCCCAGTAGCATCCATTTTCAATCGTTTGGCAACAGCGTCATGGCTTTCTAGTTCTTTCAATACAGTGCTATACTTTTCAAGAACAGATTTCTTTTCAATGAGAGAATTTAATTCCTGTTTCCCAGCTGTCTCTATTTCACTTTCAATTTCTTCTAGCCAGATTCTAAATTGCCGCAGAGTTTTAGTAAATTCTCCTACCACAGCCAGACGTTCAGCTAAACTAGATTGTGCTTCTGCAATATCTTTAAGTAAAACATCAAAGTCTGCTTTCAAGTTATCTGCATCTTCTTTTATGCTACAGGTGCCATCAGAAGCTGTGTTAGCAATAACTTTTTCTGTAAGTTCCATGGTATATCGTATCTTATTTTGAGCTTGTTCCATACTATTAGCCAAAACACGCAGGCTGCTCAATTTTGCATTTATTTCATCAACACTACTGGATGGTCGAATGCAGTCATTCAGTCTTTCTCGTGATACATCAATTAATTCAATACATTCACTGTACATGCACTGTTGTTGCTGGTGTTCCTGGAAATGATGTTCTAACTGATGCATTACTTCTTTTGAAAATGACACAAGGGCACCATATTTTCTTGAAAGTTGAGTAAATGCATTGGAAATGCTAGAATCAGAGTAAGTTTCCAGAAGTAACTGTGCTTTCATATTTAGCTTGTCAAATTCCCCTTGCCAGTCAAATATTGTCTGAAGATGATCCTAGTAAAGAGAATATATATATGAAATAAATATACTTGAAATCCTATTTTTTATAATATTATTCATTTTCTTAAATGTACATATACCTATATGTATATTGTTAACAAATATTATAATTAAGCTGCTGTAATTTAGAAATGGAACGATAATGAAACACTAAAATTTTCACACAAAGAACTTGCATTACTGACATTTATTTATTAGTTAAATATTTAACTTGTCATTTATTGACACTCGTTTGTATCATTTCAAGTATTTTATTTATTTGGAATAATATTAGATTGTCCTTAGAAAATACAAAAATATTCATGTCAATAATTAATTAATTATATAACAACATTAATGTGAATGCTTTTTACTTACATAAAAATGTATATTTTAGAGTTCATTATAGCTTATGCACTTATAAAAATGTCACATTAAAATCTGAAGAATGTTGTTTTGTTATAAAAATAATAACAAAACCACATTATTCAGATTCCAATTAGATCAACACTAACTCACAAAAATAACAACCCAATTTTTAGGTTTTATTTAATTCACCATTAGTATTCTTGGATTGGAGATAACTAAAAAATTATATTTGAAAAACAATGTCAGTATATGTTTTTAACTCTATCAAAAAAGTAATAATGATGATAAAACTAATTTCTAAGCCTTTTTATCATTCAGTGATTTATTAACATTAAAATTTAAATGCATTTTAAAGAAATAAATTGTAAATATTCCATTTTTTATTTCTTAAAACCTCTTTTAAAAGCTTTGTCTTTAAGAAGTATATCTATGGAAATTTCCTGTGTTAGTGCAACAAACATAATTATTTCACAGATTTACTTACTTGAAATTCTTGTAGGCGAGCTCTTTTACTTAGCAGGTCAGCTTGAGGTTTTGCATAGGAATTTACAAGTGGCTCCATTTCTGACAACCACTGAGAACACTTTGAATATTGTTCATCATACTCATTCCACTTTACAACTCCAACATCAAGTGAAATTTTAATTTCTGAAACATTTTCTTTTAGATTTTCATATTCTTCTTGCAATCTAGCCAATTCATCATCTATCATAAGTTTTTCTTCTTCATCTTCAACATTTGCTTTTGCAATTTCACCAAACCTTGCAGCTTGTCTCAACTTTTCAAGACCTTCCTCCAATTCAGACTGTAAAATCTGTTAACAATATTATTATATCATAAATCATTGGAAATCTGTGTATCTCTATAACACTGAAATTTGAAATACAAAAATAAGACTTGAAATATAGAAATAACTCAATTACAATTCAACAGCTTAATGGGTATAAGCACAATTAACTGGATATGCATCACAGTATTAATATTAATATACCTTACTTACTCATTCTATCTTCTACACACATATACGTACACATATACAGACATGCACGTACACACACACACTCATACAACATCATATATGCAAATTAATGTCTTAAAAGTAAAACAGTGCTATTTAAAAAAATTCTTATTTTTACTTTTGATTACGTTTTTGAAAATTTTTATATGTTCCATTCATTTCATGCATTTTGAATGATATTCAACCAATCATTCAGCCTATATGTATGTACATATGTATAAACAAAGATGGATTTACGTTGGCATGAAAGTCACAACTGTGAACAGCCTCTCATTCCAAAAGGCCTCCAATGAATTAATTTTAAAAATCAGTAAACCTTCCATGTATCTTAAGATAAAGGGCCTCCAAAAACTTGGATGAAATGGCATTCCCACTTCATAATTCCACCACCTTGTATATACATGTTACAGACAAAGTTATTAATAGATCATCATGCATAATCCTTAAGGTCATTGCAGATAATGACCAAGAATGTATAATTATTATACATATATACCACTTTAAGTATTACATATTTAACAAATAAAAGTAGAAAATGTTTAGTTAAAAAGGGAAAAAAACATATATTAATATTTTTTCATAATGAAAAGTAAGTAAAGAAATGAAAAATTCCTATCCTTTTACATGAAAATATGTAGATAATATTTATATATATACAGAGAAGTTAATTAATTGCATCAAATATAACTGTTAGCACAATAGAATATGTTTGTTAAAGAATGTCAGGCAAATGGCCCATATTTTTTACATATTACTAAAAAAAACCTGAAAGCATCCGAAGTCAGAATGTCCCTACAATGAAAATCATATCATTGCTATAATTATCAATGTTTTATAGCAGTAAAGAATGGTTAGGCTTAACTAATTTACAGGCATTAGCAATATGTAAAAATAAAGCTTAGATAAGCTTGTAAAAATGTTACTTCACAAGTTAAGAAAATGTTAAAAATTTATATTATTCAATTATTACTTGAGAAAATTTTAAATTTTGCAACAATATGCTAAATCCCTTTAATCTCAATGTGCATTTCAAACGGAGGTGGACTAGTCACTCTTGAATTGATTAAAATGGCAGTTTCACTTTACTGAGTGAACAGATGGGCTATTTGTCAAAATAAAAAGGTAGCTCTTTTAGAGTTCATCCATTCAGACTCTTGTTGGAAGTGTTCCAGGAAAGTTCGATTCCCATTTTAGAAGATACAAAATTTTTCTTTCCATGTTAAAGTGAGTTTAATTTTATCACTTCCCAATTATTTAAAAAATTGTTTATTCCTTAATTTTATTTTTAGTTCTATGTAGAACAGAGGTTTTATAGAATCCCTAAACTACAATAGAAAGAAATTAGTGCAGGGAATTGCCTGCTTGATTGAGTCAATTCTTCCAATTCCACTGCTCATTTGATTCTTTCTGTTCTTGTTTTCAATCTTGCACAGCACTTACTCACTCCCTATTCCCAATTTTATTCATCAAAATTATTGTTAGTGAATTTTGAAATTTGAGTTAAAACAAAGAATCGATTCACAGTGAATGAACAGTTCTGATCCCATAAAAGAGCAGTTTTATCCGCCTCTAATTTCAAATGCTAAGAGACATTATACATGTAGTGAAACTGTTAGATCTTCCTACTAAACATATGAACTTATGACAACTCCTGCAAAGATTTTCAGAAAAAAAGAGTACATGTAAAATCTATTAAACACCCATTATAATGTTTCATAACTTCTGAAATGTCACGACAACATTCATTATAATTTATACAAAAGGCAGCTTTCTGCAAGATTAATATTAAATTTTAAAACTGGTCAGAAGAATTACTGCAAAGTTTCACAACTGATCAAACACAATTACAATTCTCCAGTATTCAGTTTTGATACTTCAAAATAAATAAATACAGATTGCAATTAATAAATGTTATAAAAGTTATTTATTAAATACAAATAAGAATTCCAAAGGTACTCATCCTTTGATATCAACCCATAATTTTCAATAAAATAGCTTCTAAAGTTCAACTAAACATATTGGGTAAGATAACTCTTAAAGCTCCTAAGAAATATATTACATAACTATTGTTTTGAAAAGATAATCATAACAATTTACACTATGTATGTTATAAATAATCCTTCTGCTTACATGTCATCTTAATTGCATACTCTATTTCATGTGATATTAAAAAGTGTATCTTTCTCTAATCATGCTCATATATCTGCTGGTATTTCCAAGACTTATTCTAATAACACTGAAAAACTATATTAAAAAAAACTATATTAAAAACATACTGTAGACCAAATTCTGCATTATGCCAGTAAGTGTTACAAGTATCACAAAGTTATGGAACATTACACTATACTGTTTCTCTCTTACATGCAACAAAATAAAGGATTTTGATATTTTATCCTAATCCCAGAAAAGAATGTTACAGCATTTAAAGACACTTCAAGGGATAGCAGAAATGAAAAATTTCCCCAGTCCTCATACCTTCAGCTTCAAAAGCAAAAAAAGATGTGTTTCTTGCCTAGCTGCAGATAACATTGGAACTAACTGCAGATAACAGCCCCAACTATCATATTTATGCTTGTTGTGAGCTAAACTCAGTATAAGTGTATGGAATGACTTATAATTTGAGGATATTCAGAAGATCCTGCACAGATTATTCTTCCATTCAGTTAAACTGTGGAAAAGGTATGTGTCTATACTTGTGATTACTGTTACAATACAGTACTGTACCTATCTGAATTGCTTTATTTTACTAAGTTAAGGCCCATTCTCCCTTAGCATGTATTTTGAAATTTGAGCTTTTCTTTAAAAAAAATATTACATAAAATACGTACAATTCAAGCCAGGTATATGGAATCAGTAAACAGATTTAGTTTCCCACAGTTACGTTGGATGCAAGGTCTGAATATAACCACCTTTAACTTAAATTATTATTTATCAGTTAGTCAAATGATCATATGTAAGTGTACATTGTAGATTGTTGTGGATCCCAAGGAGTTCTTGTTGTGCATATTACATTAAGTGTTACATGTATGTGGCGACACACTACTTGCTTGTTGAATTGAAGTAAAGTAATCGTCAGTTCATGTTGGTTTGTAAAAAAGGATGTACTATGTGAGCATCTAGTAATGTCACTTACTTATTGAGCAAGTAATATTAACATGAATATAATATGGCGTAGTCATGTGGAGTAGTATTAAAACTAATTGCCAGGCAATCCCTTTGGTTGTTTTTCCTCTCAGTAAATGCAAGATGGAATTTTGTTGCCCAAAGCAAGGCCTAAGTTTTGACGGCAATGTGGCCGAAAACTGGCGCAGATTCAAGCAGCTGTTCCAGATTTATATGATAGCTTCAGGAAATGCTACAAAAGATTCAGATGTGAAAATTGATTTTTTTTTAAATGCCACTGGTGAGGAAGCAGTTGAAGTGTTAAACACACTAAATTTTTCAATAGGAGATCAGGGCAACTATGAAAAAGGTGCTTGAAAGGTTTGAAGCTTTCACAATGCCTAGAACAAATGTTGTAATGGAGAGATTTTTATTCAATAAAGAGAAAACAAAAAGAAGGGGAACTTTTTGATTGTTTCATGACTGACCTGAAAAAACTGGTAAAATCTTGCAAATTTGGTGAGCAGAGTGACTCTGTCTTACATGATCACATTGTCCTTGGAGTGTCAGATGCCAGTTTACAGGAGAGGTTGCTGCGAGAAAATATTACGAGTTTGAATAAAGCAATTGTGTTATGGAAAGCAGTTGAACTGAGCAAAGCTCATGCTCAAATGTTAAGAGAACACAGAGTTGACAGCATAACTAGAAGGAAAGTGAAGCAACATCAGGCAAGAGGAGCCAATGGAGCCATAGCAGTGAGGAAGCACAGAGGATGGCGTAATGACGCTTCAAATACTGAGAAGTTTTTGTGTAAAAAATGCAACAGACATCATGTCAGGGGCGTAGCTAGAGGGTGGCAAGGGGGCATCTGTTCCCGGGCGCCAAACTGATGTTACGACATTTTAGAATTAAATGTTTTCCATCCTTGGTAAGCAGTAGGGGGCACGAAATCTTCAGTTGTCCCTGGGCGCTGAAAACCCTAGCTACGACCAACTTAAGTACCACTTAGTTTTAAACCCAAGCTTAAATTAAAATTAAACAAACTAAAGAGAAAGGACATTATTGCAAAAGCTGATCAACCTTTGAACTGGGTTAGCAATCTAGTAATAATTGAAAAAGCTAATGGATCTTTAAATGCCTTGATCCTCAAGTGGCAGTGGTTACAGCTACATTCTAAAGTATTCAGGGAACTAAAAAATTTAATTTTCAATGACTCTGTATTAGGAATATTTGATAGCAGTAAACCTATCACTATACAGGCAGATAGTTCTAAAGATGGGTAAGGTTGCTGCTTATTGCAGAATGGGCAACCAATTGCTTTTCTGTCTAGAAGTTTAAATAATGAAAAAAAAAAAAAAAAACTATGCTCAAATAGAGAAAGAATTTCTTAGTATTTTATTTGCTGTTAATAAATTTCACTATTACATTTATGGTAAAGAGGTAGAAGTGCTTACTGATCATAAACCATTAGTTTCAATTATGAACAAATATATTGCTAATGTGTTGTCAAATAGATTGCAAAGGATAAAAATCAAGCTCTTAAAATACAACTTAATATTTGCCTGGCAAATATATGTATATTGAAGATTTACTGTCACGTTCCTTTATTGATACACACGCAAATGGAAATATGGATATTACAGAGAAATAAAAACATGGATATGACAGAGATTGTTCATACACTAACAAACAACTGCAAATATCTGAAAGTAAGAAAAGGGAATTTCAGAAAGCTACAATTAGAAGATGAAGGGTTAACGTTAAGTGAAAGAATATTGGCAAAATGGATGGCCTTTGAGTGTTGATTAAGTTCTTAAAGAAGCAAGATCTTATTTTAAATTTAAAAATGAGTTGAGTGTTGAACAAGAATTTAGTTTTTTTTTTTTTTTATAATCAAACTCTAGTACCTGTTGCATTAAGGACGTGTATGTTAACATTATTGCATGAAGCTCACTGTAGGGTTGAAAAATCAAAAGCTAGGGCTGGACAAGTACCGTAATTTCCGGAAGAAAGGCCGCATCAGAGTAAACATCGCACTAGAGAAAAATGGCGGGAAAAAAATTAAAATTACACAGAAACGCCGCATCAGCGTAAACGCCGCAATAGATTAAATTGCGCATGACATAATCGTGGGCCGTATCGTGGGCAAAAACTCAACCTAAGTCCTGATATATGACATACCAGTTAAGAAAAATGCATGAAATGAAACCATAACTCAAAAATAAATTAAAGGTAAGAAATGTGGAAAATATATTTACCTTCACGTATATACTTATATTTACCCACTAAAGAAGTCCATATTTGTAATACTCAGACTATATTATAAAAAATGTTGCAACAACGAAATATTAAATTTGGATGACAAAAGGAAATTTTAAATTTTACTTACGAATTACAGGAAACTATACATCATATGAAGCCATCAAAATCTGATTCTTCACTATCTGAATTAAAAAGATTTAGTAAATTCTGATCTAAGTCTTCCAGATCGTCGCATTCATCCTCTTGGTTTACAGTCTCTTTATCTAAGGATATAATTTCAGCTTCTTTGAACCCTGCTATCATTGACAATGTTTCTACCGATTTCCACGCACTTCCTGCCCACTTTGCAATTTCTTCATAAGATGCTCTACGCATTTTATTGCTTTTAGTTTACGTATGCAATCCTTCACTCATCCAACACTCCCACCGATTTCGGACTTCAGCTTTGAAGGATTTATTACCTGACAAATCTAACGGTTGTAAGATTTTTGTCAAACCACCAGGAATTATTGCTTCGGTCATAGACAATTTTTGACATCTGGTTTTCACTGACTCAAAGAAATGAGCACGCATGGAATCCATTATCAATAACCCCTTTGGTTGGAAAAAAGATCCCATACGACACTGCCAAACTTTTTGTAGCCACTCATGCATGATTGGCTTTAGCTCAACTATTTGCAGCCATTCTTGTTTGCACAAATGTAATTATGTCATTAGGAAAATCTCCCTTCGTAAGCACAGAATAGTTTTTGCACCAGTTTCATCAACAGTTCTGTTTACAGGAGAGTCGAAAAATCTAACAGCGCTTTCATCCATATTTATTATCTTCAATGGACCGAGAGTTTTTTTGTTTTTATTTTTGTTTTGTTTGTGTGTGTGTGTGTGTGTGTGTGTGTCAATAATATTTGTCACATATTTTAGAAAAGATGACTTTTTATCCTGCCAGTTCCACTGGTAATTGTTGCCCATGACTTGTTGATCTAGTATGCACAGAAATATTTTTTCTTTTCATAAATATGCTACACCAGCAAGGCCATCCTTTGAAATCATTTATGTTCATTCGTTTTGCCTATAAATTTTGCTTGTAAGCGAATTTTTACAGTCGAAAGTTGCCATTCCCTTTCCTCGTTGCTCCTTTATCCCAGTTTGCAAGGTCGTCCTCTAGATTTGGCCACCTTACAGTACCACTTCTTTGGCTTGTTTCTGTTGTGGCATATTTTAAGAAGTTCTTTTTCAGTTCTCCAACGTCGAATACATCTGTCTCGTTCACTTCAAACTCTTGATCTGCTGCTCTATTTCCAGTTTGTTCAGCATGTGAAATTACATTAAGCTTAAAAACTAGCAGTATAGCTTATGTGCCGTTTAGGGACATTTTCAAAATTTTCCGCTCCCTTTTTACTTTAAAAATATATCCAACAAGTACTTGTACCCAAACTGATGGGATCTGTATCTGGCAGAATGCCAAGAAAAATCCATTCATGCTGAAGGGGAAATATGTCAGAGTTCCTTATTGCGAGGCAGGTGGAGTCGTTATTGTCAACAGAGTTCGTTATTGCGAGGCAGGTGGAGTTTTCAAAGGCAGAGGCCCTTAAAAAAATTGCAGAAAAGGCAGGGGTGGGGAGAGGATGGGTCCTGGAGAGAGACTATTCAAACTGATGAGAATGTTGATTTGAAAGGGGAAGAATGTTATTGTTCTGAGATCTCATTTAGGGTGAAGTAGGTCTGTTCAAGGGAAAGAATGTAAATAAAATAAGGTTCGCAAAAAGCAACTGAGTGGTCTTTTGTGTGGGAACAGCACCAGTCTATGCACAATGACAAGGCCATCCAAACTCTGTACAATGACTATCATAGGAAATATTTTATTTTTAGTGCACCTAAACGCCGCATGGGTAGAAATGCTGCACCCGCTGAAAATTTAAGTTTTAAACACGTAAACGCCGTGGAGTTTCTTCCAGAAATTACGGTACTATTTTGGCCAGGAATCAACAGTGACATTAAGAATATGATTTCTAAATGCCTAACTTGTGATAAGCTCAGACCTCAAACAGTAAAAGAACCTCTTGTTTCTCATGAAATTCCTAGTTTACCTTATGAAAAGGTTAGTACTGATATTTGTGAGTATGGGGAAGAGGGGAAGTTATCTAGTAATTAAGCTGTTACTTAATTAAATAGATAGACATAATCCCTCTAAAAAAACAAAAGTGTAGTGGAAGTTACTAGTAAATTGAAATCAATATTTGCAACACATATAATACTCAAAACTTTAATTTGTGATAATGTACCATTTAATAGTTGGAAAATGAAGACTTTCGCAAAGGATTGGGGATTTTAAATAATCACTAGCAGTCCTCAATATCCTAAATCTAAAGGGTTTGCAAAAAAGTTGGTAGGTATAGCTAAGAGCTTATTTAGAAAAGCAGGACTGGAGAAATTAAATGAAGCTTTACTGGAATATAGAAATACTCCAATTTCAGGTAAAAATTTATCACTAAGTCAAATGCTATTCAGTAGAAATGTAAAAACATGAGTACCAGTTACACAAACAGAATTGAAACCAACTGTAAAAGATCAATATAGAGAAAAAATGGGGAGTAAGCAAAAACAGTCTAAAATCTATTACAATAAGTATGCAAGGGAAAGATCTGAATTTATTCCTGGGGAAAAGGTAATGTTGAGATGGGAAAATAAATTGGGAGCCTGGCTATAGTTTTAAAAAAGCATTCAACTCCTAGATCATATTGGATTAGAACAAAATTGGTAATTAAACAGAATAAATTCCACTTAAGAAAAACTAAAAATCAGAAGAATTTAGTGACATTAGACTATTATGATGTATGTAATGAGAATGAGGAAAGTATAAGTAGTGAACGTCCAAAATACATAATGATCCTCACCATCAAGATAATAGCAATAACATTAATCGTTATTGTGTATATAAAACCAGAAGTGGTCATAATGTATATCGACCATCCAAATATGAGAATTATCTCTCACAAAACTATGACTCTCACAAAAGAGGGGAGATGTTATATGTATGTGGCAACACACTAGTTGCTTGTTGAACTGAAGTGAAGTAATCATCAGTTCATGTTGGTTTGTAATAAACAATGGGCCACGTGAGCATGTAGTAATGTCACTTACTTATTGATAAAGTAATATTAACATGAATATAACACTCACTGTATTAATCCAGAACTTTCAGAAGACATATTACACAGCAAAATCGATGTGGACCCCAAGGAGTTCTTGTTGTGCATTTTACATTAAATGGTCTCATTATATTAATCCAGAACTTTCAGAAGACATATTACACAGCAAAATCGATCTTTATTTCAAGACTTCGAATATGCGTGTTTTTCCTCCTCGAACAGTAGGTCTCTCTGTCTACCTTGGGTTGCTGTATTTTTTTGGCACACACTCGGGGGCACAAAACCAAAGTTTATAATCGGAAAAATATCAGGGAACAACTTTAATCAAATACAGGCAAGTGTAATATTGATAACTAAGTCACTGTACTGATATTATTTTTTATGCAAATATGAGAAATAAATATTGCAAAAAAAAGTTTTTACTTTTTCTGACATATTCAACTCTCTTTTCACAATTTACTTTCATTTATGTCTTTATACATTATATGAAAGAAATTAATGTTTTAAAAAAAAAAACAATAAATTTATAAAAAACTCATAAAAAGAAAATTTCATATACTGGCAGCTTTCAATCAAACAATTCCTGACAGTATAAAAAGTCACCTTGTAAACTGAATAAAGTAACAAATGTATGTTCTTTTGAATAATGCAATAATGATTAAATATGTCACTGTACTGAGATCTCATTAATATATTGCCTTTCTTCTTCCTTCCTTTCTCTCACTTTTAAAAAAAAGTACTTCCTTTTTGATGACTATCAATGAAATAGCATGATGTTTAATAATTTGTTCCTTTAGCAGCAAAAAATTACAAAGTACATGTTAGAAACTTGATATAATTGCCAAGAGTTGTTATATTATTTTTTATGTAACATTAAATAAATTAAACTACATTTTGAGGGCAGAAGTGTAATAAGCTACATATTGCTTTACCTTTATTTTATTAGTTTTGTCTCTCAAAACATCTCTGTCACCAGAAGGCATAGCACATTTACTGAGTTTTTCTCTTGATTGACTCAACCATTTGTTTACTTCAATGCATGAATCTACAAACTGCTGTATAACATCCATGACACCTTTTTGCTGATCTCTGAATCCCTAAAATTTTAGAAAATAGCCTTTGTATACAAAAAATAAGTGAATAATTAAATAAATTTTATTACAAAAGCAAAAACAAAACTGAATATAAGGACAACATACTGAAAAAATAATATATACATTTATTAGGTACCTCTAACTAAAAACATAACATTACCAGCTATAAAAATTTTTAATACTGGAATTGTAATATAAATTCAATTAAAAGCATATTAGCTTTTAAAATTTTCACTTCATAATGCATATATATCAATGTTTTTGAAAACTGCAACACCATGAAGGAATTATGCAAATTGAACTCAAATTACAGGATATGTAAAGTGAGGTAAGATATGCAAATGATTAGAATTACACAGTGATTGAACATTCATGGAATGAGAACCGGCAGTTAGTTCAATGCACATACCAAGCAATCACTGCCCGCATGCAGCGTAATGCCACAACAGTGATGTGCGTTTGGAAGAAATGAAGAAAAAGAAATGACAGAGGTGTTTGGTAACAAGGCGAAATCTTGGCATGATAGTGGGACATGCAATAGCACAATGGCACAGGATAACAGACACCTCATCTGCATTACTGTGATGGATTGTACAGCATCCTCTCATGTGTAGCATGGCGTTGGAGCACAGATACAGGTGTTCTCTTGTCTAGCTGCACAGTTTGTTGGCATCTGCTGCAGCACGAATTGCATGCAAGGATTCTTATACATAGGATTCACCTATCATTGAATCACAGATGCCTCTAAATTCAATGGACATGGCAACAGTGTGGCTTGCCCTGTGGCAACAAGTTTTTCCTCCGATGAATCTCACTACAATTTGGAGTACAATGATGGTCATTACCGTGAAAAACGTCTGTTCCCACAGTGTGTTATCCAGCATCATAATGCACAAATCCCTTGGATCATGACATGTGGAGCTATTTTTGATCCCATCTAATACAAATTGTGGGCTACTTCAACAGTGATCACTATATAAGGGAAGTTGTGAAACCAGAGGTCCTTCCCATTCTTTGATGTATTTCAGCAGGATAATGCCCATGTCTATGTTTCTCAGGCTGCACCACAAGCCTTCTTTAAGGCACAACAGGTTTTGCTTTTTCCATGGCGTGCTTATTCCCAGGATATGTTGCCCATTGAAATTGTGTAGGATTTCATTGGTTGGTGACTTGCTTGTATGGCAGGTAGTGCCCACATTAACATTAAACTTTCGTATCATATCAAAGCCATATGGAACACTATTCCCCAGGATTACATTCAGAACATGCATGATTCAATGCCATGACATGCACATGCTCTTATTGCTCAATGTAGCGGACACACAAGAATTGATTTCTGATGCTCGCTTCATTTTTTGTCTTGTAAATTTGATCATTTATTTGTACCACTATCGCTAATACGTGGAATAAATTTCATTCATTTCTGACAATTTGTTCATGGTGTTGCATTTTCACAAACAATAGTGTAGGAACATACTGTATTATGCTTACAAAAATATGAGCTTAGGCAGAAATTACATAAAAAAATTGTAAATAATATAAATAATTGTTAATTTCCATTTACTCTTTTGCTTGTGATTTTTTTATCCTATCACTGAAATGATATAAAATATATAACATGAGAGAAGAAAAACATGCCAAAGTAAAACATAAAATTAGGCAGACAACAGCCTTATGTTTGGGATAAATTTTAGTCAAGATTATATTGATTTTGAGGGCAAAGGGGTACAGATGCTTTTTCATCAAGAGAAAAGAGATCTGAAATGATACTTTGATACTTTGCTGCCATTAGCTAGAATTATTTTGTGCTTTTTCTAGCACCTCAAATAATCCTCGGGTGGGGTTACTACATGTATCAAACCTCAGGCAACTCGAAAAGTTGAAGATATAGTTTAATATTTTCATCTGATTCTCCAAAAGATTAATATTTGAGATATTAATCGGCAGGAATACTTGAGATATTACAGCAGGAAGATTTATAGGATGGGTGGAACTAGCCACCTGGGGAGTGAGATTCTATAATTTAAAAACAAAGACTTTTTCATGGTATTGACAAGCGATTTTTGTTCTAAGCCAAGACCTATAATCAAATGAGGAGAAATTAAAGTAGAATTAACAATTTTTAAATGAAGGTAATATAATTCATATTCAGTTTTAGAAAAATGTCTGAGCATGTTTCATATAATGTGACAAAGAAGGAATATTTTGAATTTATGCACGATTTTCAAAACGTGAACAGATTAAAGTGATCAGAAAAGATTACATTTGACTTGTATAAACTCGGGGATGACATTCTGCTGTTTGCAATTAAGCAAAAAGTGAAGACAGTTAAAGAAGTTTATATGATTAAGGCATAACTTGTAAAATCAGTTATTGCCTGTTAATGAAGAAACTAAGGAAAGCAATAAGCTACAAAACAACACTGTTGATGAAACAAAAAAATTAATAAAGAAATTTACACAAGAAAATATGGCAAAATGATTGAAGAGAAATATAAAAAGGTGGTAAGGTTTTCGCTCTCTTTCTCTCAAGATTCCCAATAAAATTGATCTTAACTCCATAAGTATACATTTTCTTTTAAACATTCTGTATAGTTATATCGCCAAGAAATTCTTTCCATAATTTTAATTAACCTTTCTCAAGTTTTAAATTCTATTTTAGCATAACCTGAAGATAATTTTTTTATAAACTTCCCTTAAAAAAGAATGTTTCGTCTTTGTCTTTTTTAGTCTGTACTGTCTTCTAGCAGCATTTGATTGCTTTTGCATGCAAGATGTTTCAGTCAACCACCAAGGAACATTGTGAAAATCACATCTTTTCAAAGAATTAAACTTTGCTTTGGGAAAAAAAAATGATCAAGTGTCGCAACTCTTGAATGGATAACTCCAATATAACAGGCTGAGTATAATTTTCAATGAAGTTTAAAATAATCATGCCTGCATTAGCATACAAATTATAAAAATACTTTCAGTTTTCATGTTGAAGAAATTTGTTTTTTCCAGAAGCATTCAAAGAATAGTTACCATTGAGAAATTTAATTTGAAAAGAAATCATTCTATGATCAGGTATGAATTATACTTGGGTATATGTCATTTCACAACATGCAACAAAAGTTCCTGTCTAATTATAAATCACATCAATATAACGGTTTCCTTGAGCCGCACAAAAGATAGTTCCATAGCTTAGCTTTTATTAATTAAAAAAAACTGCCACTGATTTTACAAGTTATGCCTTAATCATATAAACGCACGAAGAATTCACTCAATTTAATACCCCTGAGTCAATCACAGGACTAAACCAAACATCAGATTTACTGTTAGCATCCATGCACCAAATAAGGCAATTTAAGACTTTATTGAAATGATTTATTTTGCTCAGATTAGCACCAATATTAACAGAAGGCTGAAAATAATAAGACAAAAGAGTGAAATGAGATTCTTTAAAAAATAAGCAAGTGCCTGGTAAGAAAACATTAATAGTCAGCATGGTTAAATTGTAAATTAATTAGCAACTTCTTGAATTTCCTTACCTTATCATTTAAAAAAATTGGAAGAATTTATAATGGAAATCTGAATCAATTTACACTGAAAAGCAGTTAAATTCACTGATGGAATTCTAATTTCCACACACAAAAATTAATTTCTCTCTGTGTAACAAGGCTACTTTTTAACTAAGGTTAAGAAGAATTTCAACAAAAGTTAAATTAAAACTAGTTTTTTAAATGTAATTAGTATCAGTAAATAATAATAAAAATAAATATTGAAGAAGAATATTTACATTTGAAGAGTTTAGGCAACAGACAGAAATTTCTTCTAATATTCTATTTAGCTTTAATTGGCTACTACCTTCATTCTATCATGTCAAAATTACTGCATTTAAATTATATAGAAGGTAGTTTTCACTCAAGGCATAATATTACAGATTTTTGAATTACATTTTGATATTGCAAAAAGAAAATTTGTACACATATACAAGCTATTACTATTATCAAATTATTATAATTTCAAGTTTGCAAATTTTGCACTTGAATAGATTTATTAAAAATTTAAAAAAAATTGTAGCTGTAATATTTTTTAATGTAAAGTACAATATACTTATTGCTTTTATCTATGGGAGGGATGTTGCTGTGTCTTTGTCATTAATAAAGCAATACAAGACTCATTGAAACAAACATGCTTAAATCTGATATTACATTCAATCAATTTTAATACTTTTTTTAAAAAAGGAATGTGAGGTAGAAAATTTATTTTAGGAAATTACATGTGTGAGGTAGGAAATTACAGCGCATTTGGGTAGAAAATTTATTTTCTACCCAAATGCGCTGTGCAAAAAATTAGCATATAAATTCCCATAGGAAATATTAAACTAGGAATTTACTATGATTGAAGCAGTGGAAATCTAATACTATTGATCTGAAATGAAGAACATACTTTGGCCTCTTGCATAAGAGTATGGTATTTGTTCTGAATTTCTGGTGATATTCCTTGCTGTTGTAACTGTTCTGCTTTTGAATGAACAGATTCTATCATTGGTTCAAATGATTCTATGTCCTGCACAATGCTCTGTAGAAGGAAAAGATACATAAAATGACCAAGTCATAAAAGAATGAAACTGCAAAAAGGATAAATAGCTAAAGAATGTTTAATAAAAAAATTACATAATTTAGACATTTTTTTAGTTCTTATTTTCACATCACTGTAAAAAGTTAAAACGTTAAAACAAGGTTTTTCAAATGTATTTAAAAGCTATTATTGTATTATGTAACTTCACTCTTCAAAATTTCATGCAAAAAAGTTACATAAATCATATTACTACATTATAAATTTAAAATTATACTCTACTGTAAGAATCAAAATTTTATTTCAAATTTGTTTTAAAAAATTACTAGAAGTTTAAGAAAATCAAAGCTTGTGACAAGAAAATATTTAAATTAATAAGAATTTTTCAAAGCTAAAGAACTCTTTAAACATGAGAAACATTAAATAAGCCAAACATATTTATACATATATAAGTGTTTAAAATTACTTTCTCAGTTTTCTAACATAATTTCCCTTGATTTCAGAGGAGTTAATGTAACAAACACATTATCCTGATCTTATGTAGCATATAATCAATAAGCAAAGGCCAATTTTCATCCTAAAAATGAATCTCACAATCTTCTCAGCAGATTTCTGGGTTCTGAATTTTAGAAGGACAAGGAGATCCACAGTTTCCTCTCCATCATGCCCTCTTTTTCAATTTCTGCGCCACAGGGAGCTACTCGCCATGGCCATTTCACCGTTAGGATGTTTTGACGTCAATATATATTCTTTACATGACTGTATTATATTCTGTGTAATTTTAAAATCTATAATATAACTTCTGTTATATCAGAGGTTATTAGTTCTCTTTGATACTGACATAATTTTCTAACTAACTATGTGTAATTTACATCTCATATTTGTAAACACATAAGCCTAAACCTTAAAATGAAAGTCAAACTGAGAGCCATCAGTAAAAATATGCAGCCATTGAATAGGTGAATATCTATTCATTACAAGTTTTCAAAGGCAGTAGTTTTTTCTGATTCTCACCCAGCCATTCAATTAATTAGCTCTATTGAACACTCAATAACACCTGAAATTTTGCAATGTCAAGAATTCCTGACAATTCTCACTTTAAAGGGGAAACAAATTATTCTACAGTGGGTGCCTGGCCATTGTGACCTTTGGGTCAATGAGCAAGCTGATTATTGCAAAACGAGGTGCAAGCTTACTAAAACATCCTAATACAGCCATTTCGTATTGGAGGATTAAATTGCTTTTAAAATGTTGATTTACGTCTAATACTTTACAAGATCTTCAGACTCGTACACCATTTAAAAGTTGGAGAATGATATGCCTTTCTCTTATTCCCGATAGTCCAAGACGCAATGCAGTTTCGGCTTTCTGTCTGTCTACAAGACATGATTGCCTTGCCGCCCACCTGCACTGCATAGGCATTTCAAGCGATCCTATTTACCCACTTTGTAACTCTGGAGAAGAAATGGACAGGGACCACCTACTTCGATGTGAGAATCTTTGTGGTCTTACAAAAGAGTAGAGATACTGGGAGGCAAGAACGCTCCTTAGGGAATGACTTCCATCTTTTTGTTCTTAGTTCTATTGTTTGCAAGATTTTAGTTCTTTGTAACTTTTTGCCTAGCCATTGGAAATAAATATAAAAAAATGTAAACAATTATGTATATTATAAGCAACCTTTATTATGCATACAAAAGTTAACAGAATTATTAAATTAAATAATTTTAAGACAAGTATAATACAGCAAGATATAATACAGTCATGCAAAGAAAAATATATCTTGACAGCAAAATGTCCCGACAGCTAACCGGCCACGGTGAAATAGCAACAGCGAAACGTCCTAGACCCAAGCTTCTTCCTTTTTAATGTTAATACTCTAGATACTCATCTAGCCAGAACGACATCCATATCTTTTATATCATCATATAACATTCAGGTTCCCCTCCCTGCTTATTCAATACTAAGCCCATTTTCAAAGCAAAGTTGCTTGTCTTCCATTACATATTCCTTGAATTTCACAGATATTTCTTTATTTTGGCATCCGCACTACAGCCTGGACTGGGATCATCTTCATTTGATGCTCTTTACTGCCTAAACATGGCAGCCTACTTTCTCAAGTGGAACAGGAAAATACTACATCACTACAAACTGCAACAAGGATTCATGAATATTCAGTAATATGTGCTATGCATTCGTTTGTCAAAAACTTATTTATCAAATGATAATTGATATTTGAAATATTAACAGACATTACTGACTAAGAATATTGTTTTGAATTTTTGTATATATGTAAATGATTTTAGTAAAATTATATGTGAAATTGCAGTATTTTATTTGTATTATATAAAAGAAGTGAAGCTTTGATGGAAAAGTAAGAATATCAGGGCAAATCTATTTAACATTGAGTAAATGGCTATCTTACTAAATTGGTGAGATATGGCCAAGCTGGCTAAAATTTCGGTAACTAATTTTTGTCGCCAAACTTGGCGAAAAATCACTAAACTTGGCAACCATTTAGCAACATTTGGGTCCGGCCCCTGTATAACTGTAAGGCCCATATCACACAGCATTTGTTTCACATGAAGAACTATTTTGGACAATTTTTCTTCCTGGTTTACTATTGAAAGAAAGACAGGTGATTTTCCCCTTCCTTTCGGAAAAAAATTGCGAGCTGTCCGTTTTCAACCAATCAACAATCAGCTTGTTTGTAATGGAGAACCAGTTTCCCCTGTGTTAACCGCAACATGATCTGTGGTATTGGCTGTTGTGACAAAGCAGAAAAATTGTTCCAAACAGTTGTTCTTCTGAAAAAAAAAAAAAGAAAAAAAAGAAAAAAAAAACGGATGTGTGATAGCAGCCTAATGGGTATTGTAATTGAACAACTGTAACTGATTCAACTGAAACTGTACCTGGCCCTTAGATGTAATTTTAACTATATGTGCCTTCTAGTAATTTCGAGAAATGGAATTTACTACAAATTTTCTGGCAGCCAAATGAAAGTTATATAAGACCAGAGACAGCTTTTACTCTCAGTTATTGTTTAGTTCACCATTAGCTCAGTGTATCCTATCATCAGTTCTGTGTGCATTCAGTCTATTACAAACCAGTATACACGCAACAATATTTAACAGCCCTCTGAAAAAGCAAATAACAACACTTGCGGCATGCATTTTCTATTCATTTTTCTAAGGGCTGATGCATCCATTTAGCTACATTTGTCATCTCCTCAATATTACATTATACTTAGAACTTACTGAATGAACCTCATATGCGAGTACAATAACATAATAAATCTACAAGCATTGTACAACAAAAGTTTCCAGTTTCACTCACATTGGCTTTCCGTAGCCTAGCACGTCTCTGATTAATATTTTCCTTGGTAGCAGGAGGCAAGTTCATTGACTTAACTTCCTTTAACTTTTGGTCATGTTCTTCAAGCCACTGGATAAGTTTTGCTTCAGAAGATGTAAAATCAGCCCACTGAAGTAATGCAGTTTCCAAAGCAATCTGTAAATTAATGAGAAGAGAAAACAATAGTATATAAAAATGCTATCTACAAATTAATAATAGAACAAAAAGTATATAGATATAGAGAAAACATTTTTATGTGAAAAATTTATAACAACATAATATGAAAAAATGATTACAAAAACGTTTATTCCAGAACCATGAAATCTCCTATTCAAAAGTTATTTCTTATTGCAGCATTATAAATACTAGTAGATACAGCTACATGTATCAAAATTATATAATTTTTATAATAAAAGTAAACATCATGTTTCATCACATCATACAATAGGCCAAAACCAAGAGAAAAATTTCAAAAATAGATTTAGATGAGAATTTTAACCTACAAGAATTACATGAAATAAAGATTTTCAGAATGAAACTGATGTCTTTCCAGTAATTTGCAAGGACCTCTTTCCTCACTGCATCTCCAAAATCTTCCTCGTTGCTTTCATTTAATATAAAGGTTTGAAAAATATGCAAAAAATTGATGACATCACTTATGATGGTGAAAGATGAATACAATTTAACATGCATTCATAATACATATTGCACAGCAATTTAAAATCCAATACTGGCATAGTAGCATTTTGCTTCTTTTCAGAATACACAATTTTCTTTATATACATTGTAATGCAAACTTTGACTCTCACTGAGAGTAAAAAAAGAATTTGTGAACTTTTTAAATACATTTATGCCCTTATATTTTTCATCAATGAAATGTGAAAGCAATTTATATTTTTTAAAATCAAGTTTAAGTACAGAAGTAATTATCATACTTTAATTTCAGATATGCTTAGTAGCAAACGATCCCATTGTGACTGTAGTTCATGAATTTCAGATGCAATAATATCCTTTCCTCCTTGATTAGAAGTGCGAGCAACTTTCTCAGATGCAGCAATTGCAGACTGTACCAGAGCTAAACCACTTTCTTGTTTCTTCATAACTGACTGTAAACAAACAAAAAGTAATAAAAAAATTAAAACATATGTCTATATTTAAACAGAAAATCTGTATGGCAGACAAAAAAATATACAAAGCTAATATTACTAAAAACAATATCTCTAAAATCTTTCTAATTTAAGTCATAAAATTTATTTCAATTTTGTTAAAAAATTGTATTATAAGATTGTAATTGTATTAAATTGTATATAGATTTAATTTTCAGTTTAGGTCATGATGGAGTTATATCATTCAAGAAATGTATTTACACTTAATTAAACTTCAGAAATCTCTTGAGCAGTTGGGAATCTGATACAGTTTAAAATTTCTATTATGTAACAATCCTTATTCAATTCAGCTTTAATAATTCTTATACAGTATTAAAAAGTTTCTTGCAATCTAAAATCCTCCAATATTCTAAGCAAATGTCTACAGATTCATTAACAAAAAATTAAAATTTAGCATTTGGGAATGGGAATCAGAGTTTACATAGCAGTTTAACAATGATCAGTTTTGATATATCAAAATCTGACATTCTTAAATACATTAAATTTAACTTAACAGGCTTACAAAACACTTATTTGAATTAATTTTTTAAGTATTTGTAAATATGCACATGAAAGAAAATGAATGGTTGAAAATATCTGATCTAATATTTCAATCACAGTAAATACCAAATCCGTACAATGAATAATTAAATACTGTGTTTACTTATTTATCTCCTCTTTGTGATTCTTCTTTTAGAATTTTCAGTGCACAATTTAGAAACCTTTGATTTATTCACTTCACCATCCCTTCTCCCAAGAATGAATAGTTTCTGAAATTTCTAAGATTAGTACTCTTGCACATACATTTCAAAAAATTCATTCAATACTCGAAGCCTTGGACAAAGCCATTAATATCCATCCCATACAAATATGAAATTACAGGAGACAGCATATGGTAAATTCGGACAGGGTAAAAATAGTCTTGTTCTATAAGTGCATTAGATGATAAATGAATAATAGTAAAACAGCATATTCCATATAATATGTATTCCATAGTATGAGTAAATAACACTTCAGTCTTCTTGTTTATGTGGTTAAGAACTTTGAGCAATTTTGAAATCAAATATTTGAATTAAGAAGAGTAATATTTGTGAATACTTAATTTTCAGTTAAGTCAATGCATTTTTGAATTTTTTATTAAATCATGGTATATAAGGATACTTACATTATAAAAATTTTATTTAAAATTTTAAAATATTCTGGAATAAATGTTCCCAAACCCACAATAAGAACATAATGAAGTTGACCAAATCTAATTAAATATTTGAGGAAATACATAATTAATTAGCATGGTCAAATTCAAAAAGAAGAGCTTTCTACAGACCTAAAACTTGAAAGAATCCAGAAATTGTTCATTAAATGTTAAATTATTTAACATCATAAAATGCAGAATAACTAATATTAATAATATAAAATTGCTCAAAGACAAAAACTAACTATGTTAATACATCTATTCAAATACTCTTTTTAATCATAAATATTTCCCCTTCTCTTTCTTCAAAATCTATTCATTTTCATCTCTTATTTTAGGCTGTGAAATTAATTGAAAAATCTGGGAAAATTGCAAGAGTTGATGATGATGTGACTTATTTGACAGTAACTTTAGAGCAAGTCCACAAATTTTATTATGGCAATAAGTACAGGAATGTATCTGTCATTGGCATGAGTGTTGGGTAATTTGGAGGTGACAGTTTGACTTTGCCCAGCTCTGCCCCAATTTTGAAAGAGAATTCCCCAGGAGATGGATCCATAGGTATTCTATCCCACTTTCCCAGCCCCCAAAGCTGTCAACAACACTTTTAGCCCACCATGTATTTAGCTACTATGCACTTACAGACTGTGTCACAGAGATACTATACACATACAGACATCCAAACTTTCTCTGCGACTCATCTAGGCCCAATGACATGGCAGTTAGCATCAAATATGGTAGATAATAAGCTTTAAAAAATATCCTGACATATTCAATGGGCCCCCACAGACACACTAAATTTCCCGTAGATCATCATCAATTATTAACTTCTCAATATAACTTAGTAGTCTTTCTTAGTGACTTACCAGGAAAAAAATTTGGGGCACTGAATGTACTATAGTACAAAATAGAAACGTGAACATACAATATCCAGAATGATTTAATAATCAGACAAAGGACCAAGGCATTTGGTTGCGGAGTACCTTTGTAAATTAATTACAACTACTTCCATATCATAATTAAGAAGAATGAATTAAATAAGAATCAGTATTAGCTAAATAGTAAAGAAAGAGAACCATTATGGGTTTAACACGGCTGAATAAGATGTTTTAATACTCGGAATTCCCAGAAAAACATTGCTCCCCCCTCCCCCAACCTTAGAAATTTTTTGTGAAAAGGGAGAAAGAATTCTGAGAGTAGCATATGCTTAATGCTTGATTTATACCTTCTAGATATCATACAACCTTTACGCCCACTACACAAATTATTTTTTATTATTTTTTGCTTTCATCACC